GACATGCTATATGATTCTTCTGCTATTATTACTAAGTTACAGTTTGATAATAACATTCAAACCTTTTCCAAGCTATTATTTCAATAATTTTGGCAAATTTTCATCTAAGAGATTACATTTAATGAGTGAAATGCTTTCAAAAGCCAATCAGAGTAAATTTAGAGAATCACATGGATTCAGAATCACATGGAATCAGAGCCAACCATTATTTTTGGTCAAAAACACTTTCATAGAATCATGTGTGTAATTTTAAGGATCAACACGTATGTTAAGCATGTTAAGCTTTCACACACTGACTTTAGTCAAATTTGCCTCATACTCAGTTTTCTTTTTTATTTTCCAAAACTAGGTCTCCTTGTCCCCAGTTAATGATCTGCTTTAACCACAGAATGTATGATATACCAGGAAGAATATGGAACTCGAATCAAGAGTAAATCCAATTTCTTTTTGTCACTGCCTTAAATCACTTAAATTTTCTGATATTGTTTCTTTGTATCTAAAGACATAAATTATTTCTTTACTATTGTCTATCTCTGCTCTGAAATTCTATCACATTTAGTAATAATAACTTTATCTAAAACAAATCAAATACCTGCTTTTTCCATAAATGATTTAAGTAACTAGAAAATCACTAGTTTCATCACCATCTATCCATTTATGCTTCTGCCCATTAATCTTCTCTTAAGGGCTAGAAGTAACTCTTTCAGTACGGGGAATATGAGATCACAGAATTTTATATTTGGAACTGTCCTAAGACATGTCCTTCAAATTTACTGGCTCTCCTGACTTCTATCTTCAGTACTTCATAAATCAATTTAGGTGTATTATCTATTCTTGTATCTTTTATGTTATTTAAATCAGTCGTTCTTTACATTATTCCCTTGAACTTTATAAGACATGATAAATATCTGATTTGTAATAGCTAATTAAAGAGACAGAATAAAATTCGTTCTCTACCTTGTATAATAGCTATTTTTTCCCATGGACACAAAACAATGTAGAACTGTATGGAACTGACTGACTATGAAAGTATTTCTGATAGAAATTGTTCCAGGCTGTGTTCTTACTGCTCTGGACAGATGCACCTGCCAGTTGCAAAAACTAAAACCATACTGTACTCTCACTATTTTATTACCATATGTTATGTTTTGCCTAAAAAAAAAACTATGAAAACTTTAGATAGTTTAACATAGACCAGACAAATGCAGAATTTGGGATAATCTATAATACAACCAGTCTAAATTTTTGAAAACTACAATACAAAACAAAAAGGTGTGCAGGATACTGTTCTAGCTAAGAAACAATAAGCAAAGGCAGTGCTAATCTTGACAGAATATTAGATTGTTAAAGATTAAAACAAAAAAGGCTCTAAAAACATTTTTGAATAATTAGGGAAATCTGGATACAGAATACTAGGTAATATTAATGAATTATGTTAATTGTCTTAAATATGACAACAGCATTGTGGTTGTACAGAAGAACATTCCTATTCTTGGGAGATTTGTATTGAAGTATTGAGAGAAAACATCATTTCTGCAATTTATTCTGAACAGATCAGGTTTTTTTGAAAGTCTGTATTAATACATAATACAGACTGTCCATAGGTGTGTGTACATGTAGGTGTTCATGGTATTTTTTTCATCTTTTTAGTAAATTAAAGAATTTGAGAAAAACTATATGAGCTTTATATTCAAACAGGCTCATATAATGCCTATATGTAAAATATGGTATATGCTACTACAAGATTCTCTCTTTACCCAATAAATGACATTTTGATTGGAGCACTGACATACTTGAATTCAATCAACATAATCACATTATCTTTGTCATATTTTGCCCACTTCTAACACTTTATACCAATGGACAGAGTAGTCTTTCTAAAAACATAAATTTTATCCAGTTATAACCTGTTTTAAAAACTAATCAACAGTCATCCATAGACTTTAGAATACGATCCAAATTCCTTTGATCTTCCATAATTTGACTGTACTCAGCCTATCTTCACCTGCACACATCCTCTGCAGTGAGCCGTGCTATATTATGTGCATCAGGGATGTTCAGTGTATTCTACTGCCTCTGGCTTGAGAACACGCCACCCCTTTGCTTAGTAATGTCTACCTGCCTCCTTTTCTTGGCTAACTTCTTTTTATTGTTCAAGATCCACTCTGAGTTTCACTTTCCTCTACGAAGAGATCTTTGATCTCAGACTAGTTGAGGGACCTCTTTTGTGCTGCCAGAGAAAACTTCAACCAGAGACTTATCACAAAACACTGCCATTTTCCATAGCCTTTATACAAACAACTTTCCATTTTAGTAGTTCCAGCAGACAGCATAAAATAGTATTTAATAATGTTAAGTAAATTTAACATTAATGTTAAATGAATTTGATAATGAATAGAAACATCAAAGATTAGAACTGGAAATACATGCTAAAACACCTTCCACTAACCTGTAGATGGGGGACTCTGAATAATACCTGAAAGATTATAACCTCCAGAGCCATCAGAACGTTTACGTGTCTTCTTTTTAGCTTTTGTTTTTGCCTTCTTAAACATAGTTTCCCTAGGAAACAGCAAACCTTAAAGTGTTAAGTTAGAAATGAAACAGCAGAAGAACTATGCATTTCAATCAACAGAATATAGTATTTTAGTCAAACAGAAACCATAAGGATAAGCAAGCTCGAGTTGCATTCATCTATACAGACTTGAGCAAATTATGTAACGTCACTAGGCCTAAGTGTAATTTAGTACTTGTTCTAATCCTAGCATTTCTGTGAAAGCTGAAAACAAGATAGTATAAAAGAAAATACTTTGGAGAGTAAAACATTCACTGCTACCATAGTAGCCATTGAAGAGAAGCAGTATTGGCTCTGCACTACTACTGTTTAAGCTGTGGCCCTAAACAAGAGCTACAAAATGACCAACAACACGAGCAGGCCAGACACAGCCATCTTCACCAACCACACCAAGTTCCTAAAGACTTGATCCAAGAATTATGTACCATGTTTACCGAGGAAAAGGTAAGGACACATATTTATATCAAGAAGAAGTGAGGAGAGCTGAAAAATGTTCTGGCTACCGTGAAGAAAACTGTTCTCAACACCAAGCCCTAGTTCCCTCTCTGCATAATAAAACCTTTATTAAAAAAAGTAAAACATTGAACATTATTTGGGTATACGCTGTTATTAACTATCAGCGTCAACTAGACATATTTGACAACTTTTAAAACATTTCAGAGAATGCTTAACTCCTTATTAATCAGGACAGGGAAAATAAAATAGCTGTGAGGGTCACAACTATCTTTATTTTACCTTAATGTTACAGATCTCATTATATATTTCATCCACTTAGGCAGTCCAGCTGTGAAAACTATTATTTTATAGTAGTTAATGAATTATTTACATCAATGTTAAAAATTTTATTGTAATTTCAACAATATATGCTATATATCTAAGATAGTAGATATGTCTAACTTCCAATATGCCAAATGCTACCAAATGCCAGAAAAAAGAATTTTAAGGGCCAGGCATGGTAGCTCATACCTGTAGTTCTAACTACTCAGGAGGCGGAGATTGAGTAGATCATAGTTGGAGACCAGCTCAGGCAAAAAGTTAGCAAGCCCCTATCTCAAACAATAGTTGGGGATGATGATGCACACCTGTCATCTCAGCTTTACAGGAAGCACAAACAGGAGGACTGCCATCGGGGTAAAAACACAAGACCCTATCCTGAAAATAAAGCAAAAAGGGCCAGGAGCATGATTCAAGTGGTAGAATGCCTGCCTAGCAAGTATGAGGCCCTGAGTTCAATCCCCCAATACCACAAAGAAAGAAAAACAAATGAATTAATTAAAAATAATACTTCTCAAATTGAAGAAGGCTTTTTCAGTGAAGTACACATTTGGTTACATGTAATAAATGTATTACCCAAAGATTTCACTTTAATAGGTATTTATCAAGCAGAAAGAATGCAATTCCATAACCAGTTGATAAGGAAGTCTTAAAACACTGACTAGAAATTCTATGCAGAGCCTTGTCAAATGGTCAGCAACGATGGGGACAGAAGTGCTCCAAAGTGGAGCCATGAGAGATGATTGGTTCACAAGGGCTCTAAACTCATTAGTGGGTTAATACATACTTCATAACTTAAAGGACTACTCAGAAGTTGGGCCTTAATTGGATAAAGCAGGTAACTGAAGCATTTAAAGACTATATTTTGTCTACTGGGCTTCCTGGCCACCATGAGGTAAGCCGCTCTGCTCTGGCACACCTTCCCAGCCATGATGACTAAATGCAATGGAGCCAGCCAGCCATGGACTGAGATCTCTGAAACCATGAGTCAAAATAAACCCTTCCTCCTTTAATTTGTTCTTCTCAAGTATTTTCTTACAATGCTGCCCGACCACCCCCTGCAAAGAAAAGCTGAGTAACATAGTCATTATGCACTGAAATAGGTTCTGAAGTAGAGTGGAATCTTTTAAAGATAATGTACCTCACCTGCGGCTGATGCATTCCTCATTGGAGCCTCTCTAGTTCAACCTCTCTCAAGGACAAGTGTCTAGAATTCCTCTGACAAGACAGAGGAGGGGCAATCAATCATTCACTGAAGGGCTTCATGAGGGACCAGGGGATCTAATGCTCCCTAAATCCAAGTATTCATTCTAGCCTTCATCACCCTGCTACTACTATGTCTTAAACATTTTCAGAATTGTTTTAGCTTTTTCTGTTCTAAAATAGTCTTGTTCAGCAACTACTTTGCAGCTTCCAAAACTATTAACATCCCATTATTATTGCCTGTTCCTTTCCTATTTTCTCTGCTCTGCTGAAATAGACCTTTTAAAAGTGTTTGGCAGAGGTAGGTAAGAGAAATGTACTTATTTAACCCAATATATTTAAATTTCTTTTTATACTTTAATTGTTTTAAGACCTAAAATATCAAATATGTAAATATCAATTATTTTGTTAATATATCAAGACTCTGAATGAACAGTAATATGTATTTCTTATGTCAAAATTCCTCAATTTCTTATTTCAGTATCAAGACAAAAGTTTCAGGTCCCAGAATGCAGGGAAGAAAGAAGGAAGAACAGAAAGGAGAGAAGGAAAGAAACAGAGCTTACAAACAACTTTGTTCCATATTTATTTCTTCTTTCAAAAAGACATCTCCATCCTCTACTTCCAAATGGCTGATATCTGGTCCTTCTTGGTATGGTGTAATGACTCTTCTATCCATTGCTGGAATCTGTAGAATAAAAATGTCACTTTTTAAATACAAAATTTTTAAAGATTTAAAATATAGATAAAATATTCCATCTGTTTTAGTATATGGTGACAATAACTAGAAAAGATCTAGAATGCCTAGTAACTTCCTAAATTCACAAGGGAAGAAAAATTTGATTAGATTCATTAAAAAGTGTATTTCATAAAACTGTGAAAAAAAAACCTACCTTGCATAAAAGCTCTACTTTATTATTAAGTACAGACTAGTCCATTTGTTAGGTCATGCACTGTCCTGACCTTTGGTAAGTAAGAAAAACTCTGAAATTTTCAGTAAGTTTTATTTATAAGTGAATTAATATAGATACAAATCTTATCATTAAGTATCTTCAATTTAGATTACCATACTCATCTTGGTATCCAAAAGAAATTCCATTTTCTCATTTCTAAAAGATCCTAATGAATATGCACTCCTTAAGAAATTATTCCACTGTGAAATCTGATCTAATTTATTTAGATGATAATATTATGGCCACTAAATCTTCACTGGAAGAACACAAACCTTACCATTTTTCGGTAAAATACAGAAAGATCCTTCAAAACATCATCACTTAAAACATCAAGAGACCTAAAAAATGAGAAATAAAATTATAACACTCAATTTAATAGCTGCCAAGATTTTCAAATATGTACAAATATTTCAAATTGCCAAATAAGTAACAACATTATTTTTCAAGCTTATATATACTGTCTACTATAAAAACCTTTTGGAAAAACATAGTAATTATGTTATTTCAAGTAAACAGCAAACCTAAGAGACAAATATCTTGAAAAAAAAAACTCAAGTACTTATACAAATAAGTTTACAAAGAATCTTTTCTATTTTAACAAAATAGTAAGTATTCATTTTCCATAAATTACAACACTGAATTAACAATGGCTTATGTATCAGGATAAGCAAATTCTATCCAGAATTATCATTGTACCACTACCTGCATGACTTTGAATAACTCAACTTTTTTCTGGGTTTACCATCTTCATGTGCAAAATGAAGTTTGGACTGTATCAGCTGCATTTCATTCAGGTTCCATACAGGTATTATAAGGCATCAGTGGAAATTGTAAAAATTCATACTCTATTTCTGTATGTGTGTATGAATATATATATTTGTGTATGTACATTTTTGTGTGTATGTGTATATATGTTTTTAAAGCAATTTCTACAGCTAGTATGAAATTACTTATATATTCAAATCTGTACTAAATCAGTTTTCAACACTGATAATAAATGATACATTAACTTGTGATGCTACATCAATTTTAGTGCTCTGCACATATTATTTATATTTCTAGCAAACTCATATGTGATTAAGAACTTAATTTGTATAAATCTTTGACTGAACTTGTATGTCTACTTAAGCAAAACTATATGAGACATCACCACAATAGTATCCTTAAGTGGTTCAGCTGAAACACCTGTCCCAAGATAATAGTTGAACAATAGTGACACATCACTTTCTAATATAGTATTTATTTACTCTTTTGGTGGTACTAGGATTTGAACTCTGGGCCTCACCCTTGCTAGGCAGATGCTCTACCACTTGAGCCACTCTGCCAGCCCTCCAATATATGATTTTAGATAGAGTTGATGTTTATTTTATTTTTGGTTGATTCTTATTTGACAAACCCAATGATATTAATTTGGCAATAGAAAGTAATAAAAATGTTTTCAATAGAAACACTAAAACAATGTAGCAATGAAATTAAATTTAGTCTGAAAATCTAGCCGGGTTCTGACTAGGTATCAAATGCATTTTAAAATAACACTGTCTAATATTTCATAACATTGATTTTCACTTAAAAGCATTTTTTTCACAAAATAATAGAGCTTAAATAGCAAAAGAATTTTCTCCTAATTGAGTTCTACCTGACAGTTTTTAGAATATTAGTGATTCATCTCCAAGAAACAGCAGAACATTACTTTTCAATCATGTTTTGGAATTAGTTTGATTAAAGACTTTGAAAAGTGAGTTATTAAAAAGCTGTTAACATAGTAACAATATAAACCAAAATTTTCTTGGTTCTTTTCCAAAAGAAAAAGAGTCTCTTGGTTTCCTCATTTGTAATAAAAAGATATTAACAGAGCCTACTGTACACAGTTTTCATGAAAGTTATATAAATTAATCTAACATATTTTGGAAAAATACCCAGTACATAGTAAGCAATAATTATTGTTATAATCATTGAAGCAAAATACAAAAGCAAGTACAAATTAAGCACTAAGTATTAGTTATTATTATTATTACTGAACAAAATAAAGAAATGAACTAGATGATAAATCCTTACAATGCAAATTGACACTAGGATTTTAATATCAAACATCTATAATCACCAATATAGACTCATTTCTCTTACCACTAACTTTTTAGTGAGAAAAAAGCAATAGTTTGACCTAATATGTGATTTGTAAAGTGTGAAGTTTTTCATTAAAAAAACAAATCATTCCCAGCCAGGCCTGCTGGCACACACCTAATTCCAGTACTCAGAAGACTGAGGTAGGGGGATCATTAGTTTGAGGCCAACCCAGGCAACATAATGATCCTGTCTCAAAAACCCAAAATCAGTAATAAAAATAACTGACATTTCCAACATTCCTCTAATTTTAAAATCTGTACGAATTCTAAATTATTAGCATTTATCAAACTGTTTCCAGGTAAATATCCATTTTTAAATTATAGCATATCTTTTATTTTGCTTTTGCTGAAGTCATATAATGGATGTATTCAGCCAACCTCGCTTCAAGTAAAGCTGCCATATTCAGTCCTATAAACTGTAAACAAGACAGTTTCAGCTGTTCAGCGCTATACATTGCTGCAAATTCCAACAGCATAGCAGCATTCTTAAGGGTAACTACAAAGAAAGAAAAGATTTGCAAAATTAGATGAAAGGCACATTACAATAGATAAAATATATTGGTTTTGAAAGTTGTCATATTTGAACACTTAGAACAAGGAAACTGAAAGTATTTTCTTACCAAAAGCAACTTATACTGGACAAATGAAGGATTCATTTGCCATTACAGTACGCTAGAGTACTTTCAAAAGGCATGCATATACAAACATTTTAAGCAAAACAAATATGGAAAGGGCAAACATGTAAGTACTAACAACACTCCTAACAATTTAATATTTTTAACTTTCATTAATTAAACTTTCCTTTTTATTTATAGCTATTCCCGCTTCCATAAAACCAAAAGAGATATTCTTAAGACTAAGAGAAACAGATGAAATAATTCTATAAAATGAATTAATGTTTATTAATCTATCAGGTGTTATATATTTGTGTGTGTGTGTGTTTGGAATACACATCTAACTCTTACCAAAATATTACCCATGCCAGCTCAGAATCTGATATACTGTACAAAAGAGTGAATTTAGTAACCATCCTATTAATTTTAGATGTGAAGTATCTGATTCTGCTAGAGACCCTTCAAGAACATTCTACCTATGTAGCATAAAACTGCAACTTCTTGAACTTCTCTGTTCTTTGTCTTACTCTGAGTCCCAGTCAGCAGAGGAATACAGTTGTTTTCTGTACCTGGCTTCTACTTATCTTTTTATTTCTTCTCTTTTGTATTTTATCAAAAGTTGCAATTGCAGTCAATAATGGTTTCTGCTTTACCCCTGACTAACCTGGTTTCAACAGATGATGAAAACATCTCACATCTCACAGAATTAATAATATTGGATCATATAAAAAACTTCCTAGAATTCTTCAGTTGGGAACAAAGATATACACACTGCCCAATAACCAGAGATCAAACTTCTGTGGAATTTTTTTTCTAGTTTCTAGGAAGATCATGGAATTCATTAATAAATAGAGGTGACTGTGCAGCAGGTGCCAAGAAAGAATATCCAAGGGAGATCAGGAAAGTCAGTTAAACAAGTGAAAGTATTATGTAAATATATGTATTATATGCTGCCCTTTATTTTAATATGTTTTTTTCTTGCCTATAAAAGATCCAGGGTATTTTTCTCTCACTGATAACCAAGGACAAGATGATCTACAGTGCTCAAAAAAAGATAACGGAGCTAAGTCATCTAAGTACAAATCAGAAGAATTTGACAGGAATTTCCTTCATGCTTCCTAAAGTAACAATGAAGCAAAAGAAATATAAAATTAGAAAACCATAAATCTTCCGTTTAAGGCTAAGAAAATTTAACTTTCATTCTAGAGTAAGCAACTAAAAATATCTAAACATGAAGAACACACAATTACTTCCTATAGCAAGATTAAAGAAAGTAGAAGGGAGGAAAAGCATTTAAAGACTACTGTGATTCTGCACAAAAGAAATGGATACCAGACCTAACTAGCATAGTAACTGAGAATCAGAAGATGGGGAAATGTGACCTACAGTTAAGACACATCAATTTTTTTTAAATTTTATTATTCATATGTGCATACAAGGGTTGGGTCATTTCTCCCCCCTGCCCCCACCCCCTCCCTTACCACCCACTCCACCCCCTCCCTCTCCCCCCTACCCCCTCAATACCCAGCAGAAACTATTTTGCCCTTATTTCTAATTTTGTTGTAGAGAGAGTATAAGCAATAATAGGAAGGAATAAGGGTTTTTGCTAGTTTTGCCTAATTTACATGTTTCATCTTTCAGTGGGTCCCCTCAGGGAGAGGAGGTGTACCCACCTTCTCATCAGTTCCACAAGCATTTACTCAGCATTGTTCTAGGGCCAGGCACTGAGCTGTCTGTGGAGATCCAGCCACAAAGTAGGCACTTTCACTATCTTCATTGATCTTTCCAGTGGACATCAAGTGTAAACAGATACAGAATGTTGCTTATCAGCAAGGTAGTGCCTGAGCACCATTTTTAAAGATGGCTAGCAATTACTCTCTCTTACTCCATTGTTAATCCAGACAGTTTTACTTCAGTGTTTGCTATACTCAGAATTTGGGATGTGGCAAATTGTTTTCTACAAAGCAGCCTATTTTGAAGTGTTATGTATTTTCACCAGCAGCAGAGGGTATTCAGAAGCATTGCCCATTTACACACAGCTCTTCAGATAAGAGGATAAAACACAGACTTCTGAGCACTATTAGAACTCCAGGACACCGATGTCCCTGATTCTCCTTCATTCCAGGATGGCCCTCTTTTGCCCCTGCTGATTGGTATACTACAAAGGAAAGCTGACTAGCTCTACTCTGAAATCCCCTGGAGTGGACAGAATCTAAAGATTAGACCACAGCATGTATTGTACTTTTCTTCCAAACAATACAGGTCATCATTCAGTTGGGTGTGCAAATATGTCACCTCGTGAATGCCCCAGGCGTGGGTAGTGTAAAGTGAGGCAACAAATTATTTTGGAAAAAAAAATAGAACTGGAGGGATGGCTCAAGTGGCAGAGCACCTGCTTAGTAGGTATGAAGCTCTGAGTTCAAACCCCATTACTACCACCCCCCCAAAAAAATTCACATTCCATTCCCCTCCAAAAAAATCCACATGAGTTATGTAGCAGAATTGGTATGAAAAAACAAGGTAATTGGTATGGTTATTCTTAATCCCCATTGATTAATGTAGTGGTTTATGGGGACCTGTAACATTCGCCATCACTTTATATTTCTTCCTTTTTAAAAATGTTTTCTGTCAGTAAATAAAGACTTTATGAATCTCACATTCCTACACATGCTCCAACCAGGTACACTAAAATGAATTTATGTGTCAAGAAGAGTCATGTATAATTTTGTCCTTCAACTTTAGTATACCTGGGCATGCGGTCTCTCTCTCTGTCTCACTCTCTCTCTCTCTCTCTCATTTTCTCTCTCTCTCTCACTCACACACACACATACACACACACACACAAACGTCCCAGAGTTAAGCTGTATTAAAACCACCATGCTATTCCTTTTTGATACCTATGTGTGCACACAGATCAACAGAGAAGACCAGGCCTCTTAACTGATTCATTGTTGTGACACAGCAGCAAAATGTTTCTTAAACAGTTCTTTAAATCAATAGGAATCCATGTCATACTTCCTCTAGTGACTATGATTATTGTCCTTGAAAAAATAACAGGCTTGAGTTATCCTCCACGTTGGTGCAAATGAAGAAAATGATTCATGGAGAACTTGCCCAAACTCCCACAGCTATTGAGAGAGCTGATGTTTCTGTACAGACCACCACTTATTCCCCATCCATTAAATGGAGACCAGCCTCCAAGTTCCCTTAATAGGCACAAGTCTTCTGTTTTTAATACTGTCTCAGATAAGTAGAAGGGACAACAATTTAATAAGTTCCTTGTGAGAGCTGAATTAAAATTATATTTTAAAGCACATAATTGATATTTAATTATACTGATCATATATGCATGGAGACTGTCATTCATTCTTCCATCACTCCAGTTTCCTCACTGCAGCCAAGACATCTTTCCCTAGACAGCATGATACTTCAGTAAGTCTTACCTTATAGGGCTGGGGTTAAAGCTCAGTGTTTGAGCATTGGCCTGCCCCTGGGCAGCAGAATATCTACAATGCTCTGGTGCCCTGGTTTCAATCTCTAGTACTGCAAGGAAAAAAACTTGTCTTATAGAACCTGTTTGGAGAGAGAAGGAATTTCAAGCTGCCCACCAGTGCCTCACACCTGTAAGCCTAGCTACTCAGGAGGCAAAAGATCAGAAGGACTGCTGTCTGAAGCCAGTCCAGGCAAATAGTTCACGAGATCCTAACTCAAAAAAACCCATCACAAAAAGATCTGGTGGAGTGACTCAAGTGGTAGAGCAAGCACCTGCCTAGCAAGCATGAAGCCCTGAGTTCAAACCCCAGTACTGAAAAAAATTCAAAATGTATTACTTAAAATAATAATATCCATATTAAAGTATACAATTAGAAAGGCCCACCTGAGATGATTTTTGGGATGCTCTACCACTTGAGCCATACCCCCAACCTTTTTTGGCTTAGTTATTTTTTCTGATAGGGTCTCCTGTTTTTAGCCCCTGGGCTGGCATCTGGTCATGATCCTCCTACCTTGAAGTTAGGATTACAGAGATACACACCACCATGCTCATCCATTGCATTTTTACATTTTCTTATTTAGCCATTCAACCTTGAATAAAAGTCAAATGCTTTTATTTTAAGAGAGAAAATTGAAATAACCAAAGACTACTTTCTTTGGCTCTATTCAGTTGTGTGCATAATATAAATGACTAATAACTAAGGAAAAATTGGGTCACAAATGCTGGGGGGGGGGGTTGTTGTTGTTGTTTTCTTTTTCATTGCTCATTGTCTGTTAGCTATTCAGAAATGCTTACTATGAAGCAGCTGGTGGGGTCTGGCTAGCCATCCTCTCCCAGGAGTGACTGTCCATTTACTGCCTGTGAATCATATCTCACCATCAGAATCTTAAACCAAACCAAGGGCACTTCTGAGGTATTGTTTATTGGCTTGACAAGGACTGTGAACATATTTTGTCTGCTCCGTGGTTAAATAATCTATACTAGATTATTGGATACAGTGAAGAGAGCACACACTAAATTCACTTGTCCCTGCCTTTGATGGTATCACTCATTAGCTCTGTGACTTTCTCTAAGCTGCTTACATTAGACTCAGCTTTTCCATATTTGGACATCCTTGAAGGGTTGGCATGAGGATTAAACTTGAAATCTGCTGGATTTCATATTTTATGAAATAACAGTTTATGCCTGAATATTGTATTTTTTAGTAAAATCAAAGTACATTGTGTGAAAATGTCACATTGTAATTCACTGTTTTGTATAAATACTATATGCTAATAAAATACTTAGAAAATGTAACATATTTATAACATTCCATGATTTCTTCCAGAATATGTATCAAAGGCACTTTCTCATGAAAGAATCAAGAAAATACTCTTGCTATCCTAGTCCAGTGATGTCCATAGGAATTGCAAAAAAACAAAAATAGTAATTTCTTTGTTCCAAATGGGAATGAACTGAACTGTATTATAGACATTTCAGAAGTCTGGATGCTGAGTTGTGTGCCTGGTTTTATAGAATGCTGAATGTGTTGCATTTTATGTTTGACATTTATAGAGTACATATGTTAACTGCTGACTTACCAAAACAATGATGTTCAAAATATATCGAGTGACACTGTACCAGAGTTCAGGGCACATAATTCAAATCTTCTAGTAGAAAAGAAAAGACCTAAAGCATCTTTTCTGAACTTTACAAGAGAATGGATATGTTCTTTTTCCACCAACATGTCTTCAGCCTAGAATATTTCCTTGAGTCCAGTTCTCATTCCACTGCCAAAATAAAGATACATCAATCAAAGTTAAAAATGTTTAATGTAATGCAACATGCAGTGGTATTTCTTAAACAGACATAAAAGATGTCCCTCGTAATGCCCATACTTTTAAATTTACA